TCCAGCTCTACACCTTGTTACCACCTTACATCAGTTGGATCACGAGATGTACTCGTGCATCAGTGCTCAATTCACTGCTTATTTTACCTTTGAACATTGCTATGTGGAGCTGTCAATAAAAAAAGTCTCGACTGAAGAACAGTATTTGACAATGCATGAGAGCAAGTTTTCTGTTGCTTATGATGGAGATATATACATTTGAGAAGTAACAGGTAAAAGTTAAATAGGAAGGGAGGAAGCCTGACGGTGATGAACTTTGTTTTCATTGTTGCTAAAACAAAATTTGTTTTAATCTTTCTTCTCCAGGATGCATTTAGCCTGCTAGCATACTCTGATCCTTGGAACTGTCCAGTTGGTCAGCAGCTTGATCCTATCCAGAGGGAACCTATTTGTGCTGCCCTTAATAGTGCTATTTTAGGTAAGCAGCAAAGATAAAAAGGCAGAAGTATCTTGTGTAGCTTTGCTTCCTGAAATGAGTCTAATTTCTACCACAACCACAAAAGGATGCAACATCCCACACTCCACAGTAAGACTGAAAAATGGTTCATGAATAAAAAAAGAACATGTTGGAGAAACTGAGCAGGTTTAGCAGAATCTGTGGAGTGACCGAAACAGAGTTAATGTTTTGGGTTCAAAGGCTGTTCTTTGGAATACTTCCAAAGTAGAGTCATTGGACCTGAAATGTTTAACTCACTTTCTCTCTCCACAGATGCTGCCAGACCTACTGAGTTTCTCTAGCTTTTTCTTTTTTACTTCAGATTTTCAGCATCTACAGTATTTTGTTTATAACTGAAAGATGTCTCAACCTGGTATTGATTCGGGCTGTTTCTCTCAAAACCCTGCTGGTCTTGTGTAACATGTTATGTCTCTTACATATGTAAATCAGGTGCTAAATGCCTGTTTTTGGACCCCGTTGCCCTATGAAATTACATGTCAGTAAGTGGCTGTTTTGCTTCAGTTGGAAGTCTTGGTCTCCCATGTGGTCCCCATAAAGTAAGAGTTTTGTTTTTGAGAAAATTGTAAAATTAATTCCTGCGGTGCTAGGAAGACCAGGTATGTTTCCATAAATCCACATTAATTCCAGTGATCCCAGATCCCTTTGTCACTCCACTCACTCTGACTCTCTTTCCAGGCCCCTTAATGCAATGAAATAATTGATCACATCAGCTATTTTAGTTCGTTGCAGGATAAGTGTTTGGCCAGACCCAAAAGTTCCTGCCCTACTCTTCAAACATTCCATCTAAGACATCAAATCTGAAAACCCATATGTCCAGCAGTACGGCAGCACTCCCTCAGAGGGAAATTGTTATTGAATATTTTTTCTGACATTTGCCAAGCAATCTTCAAATCTCCGAATTAAATTGGGTGAGTGAACTTAAGTAAAAATTCATTGTATTGTCATTAAGTGGTATCGGACCTGACCTGGTCTTATGACATGCCCCAATCTTGTTTGAGATGCTGGTTTTCTGCTTCTTAGTAACCTCAACCTTTATACTAAGCTATGCACACGCTAAATATCTGTTCTAAAAATGTTATCTGGAGAGTGGGGAAGCAGCTTCCTCAGGCAGAATCCAATGGATTTGAAACTAAAATCAGCTGTTCTGATCTATGTTGCTGCCCAGAACACCAGATAAAATATTTGCCTCAATGTAAAGAAAATCGGAAGTAATCTGATTATTCCCTCTCGTATGTACACCTTTTGGGAGGAGGAAAGAGCAATTTAAAATGCATTACCTTAAATGTGATGAAGTGGAAATGACTGTGATCTATAGAGTTTGTTGGACTGTAGTGGTTATCATTGTACAAGATAAAACTGTTTTTGTTCTTTCTCACAAAGAATCTCAGAATCTGCCAAAGCAGCCTCCATTGATGCTTGCACTGGGCCAGGCCTCCGAATGCCTCCGACTGATGGCACGTGCAGGGATTGGATCCTGCTCATTTGCCAGAGTGGACGACTATTTGCACTAGCTGCTGTGGCAGTGGAAAGACCTCAAATACTGCCCCTCACCTCCTGTTCAAGACGTACAACAACCTCTCCCCTCTTGAAGACCATCGCACTGCCCACCAGACGGGTGCTGACCATTTTCCTTTCTTACCTGCATCCTTGTTACATTTTATCAGGTTACATGACTGAATGCATTGCATTTTGAAAGAGATCATGGGTGCAGTAATGCACAGTACAAACGTAGCATATTTCTTTGATTTTTATTTAGTCACTGAATCACCAGTATTTAGCCCTGGAGGTTTTGTCCTGCGCTAGCCTCTATTGTTTACTGGTTATCAGAGGGCTGTAACAAAACTCATGTATTTTGAAGCTTTAATACTTTATTTAACAAGGCTGAAAAACGACTTGGGTTTGTAGCAGCGTTACCCGATGCAGTTTTATTCTCCAGCATTAATCAGTGCTTCAAGTCCACTCCCCATTTCCTTTGGCAAAAATTCATTGACACTCAAAAGCTTTGGTATGTACTTTTGCCAAAGCCTTGAATTTTCCCTCTGTCTCACCTAATCCTTTGCCAAAAAAATACAATTCTTGGTTTGTTACAGCCCCAGTAATCAACCACATTTGGTTTACATCACCATGTTCTACCTGTGTATATTTGTGTGGAACAATGCTGCTCATCGTCACTTTTGGTTTTGCTTTCCTGCCTTCAGCCTTTAGTTGCACAGCCATAGCTTCCACTTGTTTCTTACTGGAGGTTTAACATCAAAACCCACAACATGTCAGAAAGTTCTGGGCAGCCTCCTACTTCGAGCTCCCGCATTGTCCTCCACCAGGCCTTCCTTTTCAATAACAGTACCACCAATTCTCTAGGTCATTTGTCAGCAACAAATACTGTTAGGGTAGGGAGGGAGGTAATGGTAGCCAAGTATAATGTGGGTATAAAGCTAATAAACTTTAGGAACCAAGGAAACTAAGGCAAAGGCCAGTTCGGCAGTTGAAATGTACAGCTCTGCAGATTTACTACACAACATCCTTCTTTGGAAGGATTTACTAGATGTTTTACTATAATGCCTCTGGGAAAGTTAGTTGACTAGTGACTGGTTTCGTTGGTTTCTGATTACCACAACATTGTAAATTTCCAGCTTACAACTACAATGTTATTAATTGAACAATCATCTCTGGGTGGGGAGGTGGCAGGTTGTGGGGGGCGCGGGAGCCACTCTGATAGTTTGTAAGCTAATAACCTTTCAATCAATCAATTAGTCATGCCTGTCCAATTAGCCATGCCTGTCCAATTAGCCCCACCTAAAAGCTACATGAACAAAATCATAAGATTAGCACGGCAATATAAGTCACCAAAGAAATATCAGAATGACAGAACAGCAGACATGAGCCAAGAGACTTAATATGCTGGAGATTCCTGTGGCTGCTGAGAATATCATAAAACAGCAATCTGACTACTTGGAATTCATCAGTTCTATATATAACTATACAGAGAAAAATGTTTCTAATTGGACAATTAGCAGTGACCATGAATCAAACAGATTGAGTAGTTGTTCTAAATGGTAGCCTGTAAAATCTGAATAGGAACTGGACTGTGTAACTGCTTCATTGTGAGCTACATTGTGGAATTGTTCACTTAACAAGTTTGGATTGACATGTTAGCTTTTAATAGTTTTTTTTAAAGTGCAAATTGGGATGATGCATTTGGGTTTTAATAGTTTTAAGAAAATAATACCATTACCTCCTCTTCTAAACGTATTTTGTATTGGTGCTATTCTAAAACAGATTCACTGTGTCTTCTCCCAGCATTTTATGCTAAATTCAGTTCCTTTGTCCCTGAATTAAATTAGATATAGTTTGCAGAGAATTTCAAAGGGGACGCGTGCATGTCTCTGTATCAGCACACATTCAGACCTGTCCATTGTGGACATGATTGTAAAATAACACTGCTTGGAAAAATATGAGGTTTTAATGCCTGTGGATTTGCATGATCCTATGTTAATTTACTAGCCGTCTTGTTGACTTGCCTAAGGGCCTGTAACAATGCTTCACTTTCAGAGTGGAACGAGGGAGCCAAAATGACACATGTAGCAATTACAGGAAAGGATCATGTTCCTGAACACAATGTCAGTGGAAGATGGAACCACTTTTTGGCAATACTTGAAAATAAAATATGAAGGATAATGGGCAACTTGTGCAAGACCACTAAAGTATATGAGCAATTACCATTTTAAGGTCCAGTTAATACAGTACCTTCCATTTTCAAGAGTTTTTGACATAGTATGGACAATAAAAAGTAGTTTTGGATCAATTAGACTTTAACAAACCTCTTCAAAGAATTTAGTGATAAATTATAGGATGGATTATTGGTAAAAACATACTTCCTCAGCTTTAGCAGAGTTGTCATTTGTAACCAACATGTTGCCTTTTAACTAGTAATAATTTCTTAAAATATTACAAATCAACGTTAACATCACAATGCAGTTACTTTTTAAAAAAAAGTTCATTCCATTGTTTATAATCTTCTCCTGTAATTCCCTCCACATTCTCTCCCAGCTACTGTGGGCATTGTTCTCTGTTAGGGAGACCAGCTAGCTTTCCCAGGTCTCTGCATATTCCACATTAATTTGCTGCAGGGAGGTACAAAGAACTGATCTGTTATGATGTCTGACCTCCATTCAGCTCAGCCAGTTCTTAAATTTGTAAAGTATGGAGTGCAGCATGTGACTACCCATTGCTGTGCTATGTTGTGCAACATATGGGAAAAATCTCTATTTGTATTTGATGTTTACTGAGCATTTTAGTTATTGAATTTGATTGGGAATTTCAACATTGCATGTTTTTCTTAAATGTACATGTTAATATCTAAGCACTTGTGCAATCCATAATGTTCAAGAGATAGACTTGTAATTACAAAATCCCTGTTAATGCAGTGATTATGCTAAATTTCAGCTCGCTGAGTTATCAGAAGCCAGATATTTCTTGTCATCTATACATGCCATGCTTAAATAGCAAATATACACGCACTCACACACACACACACACTCACGCCGATACTGCTGATACTGACACCACCCAATGTTCAGATCTTCACCTATGTAACTGAGATAATTTGACCACTATGATTGTTTTTCTCTGCCACTGATTTCCTCATGAGGCCCCCTTGTTGCCTGCTTCAAGAGGATTTAAACACTGATGTCTTCAATGTAACTTTGATTGCTTGACTGAAAATGTGACAGAGCCCATCACTTTGTTCTACCAAGTGTGACTGTAGCTAACAGTTAGTGAAACTTACCAATGCTACTCCACTAAAGTAAAGCACATTTTCCCCACTGAAGCTAGGATTGATCTTGAGGGAATGAAATTGGGTCAGTGATGTGTGAAGAAAAATCCTTGAAGTTGTTTTCTGCATCCATGGAAATTACTGGCTAGTCCCTGACTGAGCCTGATTTTATCTGGACTCTGGCGTAAAAATAAATGAGGGAAGGGAAGTGATGCAATAAATCACTCGTCTGCAAGAATGACAAAAATTGCCGTAATTTTATAGCCTAATACAAAAGAAATAAAGTTGCTAGTAGAGTTTTTGCAAAGTTTGGAAGCCATTATGATACCGTATCAGCTAGTTGTCTTAGATACCACTACAGGAAACACAAATCAATTTTGAATGATGGTCTCTAACACTGTGCAGTTTTGACAAATAAGCATAAGTGTTGTATGAGTCACACAAAATGATTTGAGGTTTGAGTTGCATTTGGCATTTTTATTTTCAGAATATCTGACTAAACCAATCTTAATTTTAGTTTTTGATAAGACTCATGGGGAATTTGGAGCTGTCATAAATTCAACCTTCATCTTTTGGAAGCTTCTACTATTTAAATACGTAAGTCAATGTTGATTTTGGTTGTGCACTGATTAGACTTGCCTTAAAGTCAATGCCTTCCTTGTACTTGGATTTGACAGAGGGTTAATTAAAAGGGAGTTATATGGAATTGATCTGCAATATGATTTTTTAAAATTAAATGACAGTTGTTCATCCACCATAAGTGAAATAGATGTATATCATTTGATATGATTTAATTAGAGCATCATGCAGAAGACATTCTTTGTAGATTTCCCTCTTCTGCTACAGTACATTCAGTGATGTTACAGTGAAGCAATTTGTGCATAACCCACTTTCTCCCACTGGAGGGGAAGGGAATTTCACATTTGTTTCTACTAATTACTGAAGTATAGAACGTAAGTGTTAATAGTAGACTAAATTATGCCAAATCATTTGTAACTATTGACTTTTGAAGAGGTATGGTAGGTTCCAATTGCTGGATGGCCTAGTATTGCTGAAAAATAATGACTTAAATAAACAAATAGGTAATAAAGAACCTCCCTTGAAAAAATGGGTTGTGGGATGTTCCATTTAAGGTCACTCTTAATCCAATAATAAATCCAACTTAAGTGAACACTGCAGTTACTTTAATATGAATTTAATCAAGGTAATGTCTGACCACACTCTGTTTCAGATTTTTCCTTTGCTATTGGTTACAGGGATTAGTTCAGTCATTTCTCCTACAAAACCTTGTCAATCAATTATGCTGAAAAAGATCAGCAATTAAGTTCTTTAAGAAATAATATATAATTATTCAGAAAGGGAGTGTCATGTTTATAGAGTGTGGCCCAATAATGATTTCTAACTAACCCCGGCTGATATTACAGTAACACTGTTTTAGCCACAGACAAAGTAGAAAATGGTGTACACCATGCAAGTAAATGTACCTCGTGTATATTCACTTGGCATCTAGCACCATTCAGTAACCAAGGAAATAAATAAAGCAGTCACAACAACCAAAAAACTTGCACATTCTGCTTTTTGTCTCGCCATTTTAGCAATAACTGCACAATGCATGTGCCATCTGTCTGAATATGGGGGTCACATTCCACTGAGCAGAAAAGGAATTGAAATAGCAAATCAGGATGTTCAATTGGCCAAATATGGCAAATGTTAGACAATAATTACTTAGTAAAAGAAACATTTTCTGCAATTACCCTGCTCATCAGGCGCTCTCATGATTTTTTTTGACTATGTTCCCATCCTTTTGAAAATACATTGAATCAGCAATGGGAAAGTTTGGTCAGTTTCTGATGCTGGATAGCTTATGGTCTGCTGGTAACCTGCAAATTGATATTACATCAGTATGCCCTTTTCTGGAGATCCAGCTAGACATTGGTGGTCTTGAAATTTCATACTGCACCCTATCCCCAATAATATCGGAGAAAAGAAATTAAATAGAAAACCAATGACATTTAACTGTCCAGAGTATTACTGGCAAATTACTAACCTTGAAAAGCCTAGACAAAAGACACATTGTATTTAGCAACATGAACCTGTATTCAGTATTGTGTATTTACAAATAATTGAAAGACCAGCAATAGCTATGTTGGATACAGTGCAACTGATTACACGTGCAACCCAGTTGTTACTGTAAGCTGGAAAACTGTATTGCGTGAATGTGAGTGGAGGTGTCATAGTATATGACAAACTACAACCACTTTGTAAAACCATGTATTTTTCCTTTTTCATATGTTTTAAATGTCTATCAATCAGTAGTGAGGTTGGTGATGTCACCTTAATGAGACAATCTAAAATTTAATCTAAAGTTTAAAGTTTCTGATTTCATTTTCTAACACTCAGCATTGGAAACAATTCTAATTTGTCTGTTGTCTCACTAACCTTCTTAAGGCTGCAGTAATGTGCCATTTTGACTTTTCTTTCTAGTTGTATGTTTTCAATCCCACTGTCCCCCACGCAGCCACATTTTTTGCTGATTCGGGAGATAGTTTACAAACTCTGACAAGTTGAAAAAAAAGTGATATAATTTACCTCCTATCTTCTCTTTCTGCTAAATTTCCCAAATGAGTTCTGATTTTAGATGTAAACAGACAGTAGTTCAGAAAGAGAAGCATGCTGCAATTTAACAGTAATTTACATTTGCACTCTCACAAAACCCTGAGGTTAATGCTTTTGAGTTTGTACCAGGCACTTTGAAATATGGGAACAGGAGGTCTCATTTTTCCTGATGTTATGAAGTGTACTGAAGCATGGCTTTGATTTTTTTTTTTGTGTGTGCTCTTTTCCCTTGGTTGGGCTCTGCAAAACTAATGCTGATTTTTTTTTTTTATTTTTTTTAGAATAAAACAATACAAATTGTGTGACACTATTTAAAGATTTAAAAGTTCTGTTAATCTAGTAATTCTAGTTTTGTGTACTTAACTGTGCTCAGCTTGAAACTATAGTCATTTTGTTTAACGGAAGGGAAGGGTGATAATAAAATTTTAAATTCTGTATACAGTATAAAATGTATACATTGTAATTTAATGATTTTCTTTTGTTGCTCCAACTCAGGTATGATGCATACAATTACAGCATGGAATGTGAAGCAAGTTGTTTCATTTTACCAACACAATACTCATGAACTAATTTCTGCTCCATGCTCAATATCAGTTTAGTTTTGTTATGAATTCAATAAATGAACACGCAAGTTGTGCTCAAGTACAATGGTTGTTCAGTTTGAGCATAGTAAGTATTTGTGAAGCAAAAATTACCCAGTACGAGCATGAACATTTGAGAAACTTTTAAAACAAAAGCAAAACTAAAAAAATGTACTAGAAATATGTTAAAACAAAATGTATTCTGTTGTATTTTGACAGAATTATTTTTATTAAAATACACAGTCATGTGCTAAATTGCTGTTGGATTTTTTTAGTAACTTCTGCCTAAAGGATTTTTGCAGCTGGTTGAATGCATGTTTTCACTGTTACACTTTTAACCTATAAATAGCGAATTAGCAGCAGATTGCCAGTATTGTTTAAATGAACATGCACAGCACTCCATAAAGGAAGTCAAAAGTTTGGTTAAACTACTTTTATTCTCGAATCCAGGCCCAAATCCAGAATGAACTGATGGGCTATATTACTCCTTGCTGTTCAGCGCAAGGGTCCCTAAAGACATGTGAATCTTCAGTCGACTATGCTGAGTTTCATGATTCTTTCATTTAGTTTTGTATTTTTATTACAGAATTAGCGTAAAACAAAATTTGAAAAGTTATACATCGTGTTTCATTTGAAGAAGTTAATTTAATCATCACTTCTTTAACAGTGAATGTAAACTTGCAACAGTTTTCATGTTTAGTTGCTAAGGAAAGCTTGAAGATGAAGCAGATGGGATTAAAAGATGAGGGTAATGTGCAGAGTAATCTAGAGGTTTTCATAATAATGTAAGATTTTGAGATGGTAGATAGAATTGTTTTCACTAGGTGTAAGTGGTTAACAAATATATAAATTGTAAGGTTGTTATTAAAAGAACAAAAGGGAGAAACTAGAATTTTCAACTGCTAATTATAACATTAGGACTAGGCTAGGTGATCAAGCAGTTTCAAAAGAATAGTAGGATAACTAGTACAGATATGACGGATTTAATTGTATTGTCAGAATTGATTTGTAGTACTTTGAGGGGTTGTTTGTGATTTTTAAAATTATTTCTTAACTGTCTTCTGCTTTTCACTGTTCTGAGGAAGGGTCACCGGACCCGAAACGTTAACTCTGTTTTTTCCTTCACAGATGCTGCCAGACCTGCTGAGCTTTTCCAGCAACTTTGTTTTTGTTCCTGATTCACAGCACCTGCAGTTCTTTTGGTCTTTGTTCTGCGTTTCACTCTGTGATTTCAGAATAATTAGAAAGCTATTTAGAGAGGAAATTGAGCTTCAGTAGCAATTTTAGATAGTATTATGTGAAGCAAAGTTTAATTCCCTAGAATATTTATCAACTGTTCATGTGAGGTATGGAGTAAACTTCTGGATAACGTTTTGGCTGATTTTGCTTATAAATCTGCTGCTGAAGCAATAGGCACACATCAATCAAAAATTTAAGTGACAGACCATCAATTTCTGGTTGGGTCAGATCAGTCAGGACAATGATACTGTATTTAAATAGAACATTAGCAGTTGTTATCACTTTGCAAACACTTTATTGTCTTTTGTTGGAAAGGAGGAGGTATACAGAAAATAAAGAGCAAACTAAAACTAAACTAGAATTGCTCTTCAAAAAAAAAGCTACAATGGTGATGAGTTAGTAAGAACTGCTGATGCTGGAGTCAGAGATAACAAAATATGGAGCCGGAAGAACACAGCAGGCCAGGCAGCATCAGAGGAGTAGGAAAGTTGATCTTACAGGTCAGGACCTTTCTTCAGTAACCCCACTGCGAAGCCCCATTTCTGAAAAAGGGTCCTGACCTGAAACGTCAACTTTCCTACTCCTCTGATGCTGTCTGGCCTGCTGTGTTCCTCCAGCTCCACACTGTGTTATATCTTACAATGGTGATGTATTTGTTATCCGCGTGATGTGGTGAAGCATGTAAAATTCATGTTACACCACTGCGAAAGGAACTTTTCCTACTTCCATCATGTTTGTATTGGCTCTAAAGATTTTTTTTCTGTGTTCTTGACAGTAGTTGGGGGAGCTCACACCAGAAATTTAAGAGAATAAACTAGGTGCTATATCAGTGGAATATTGAAGCAATATTGCATTGCTACTAATGCCATCTTTCACAGGCAAGGTTAAAGCAAGATTCCATTTGGCTATTTTAAACAATATTTTCAATCTTATTGCATGCCTGGAATAAAAGCAGTAAGTACTCTGTCATGGCAAGTAACACTCAGCAAATACTGTTAAAAGAACAAAAATAAGTTGCCATGCCTTTTATTGCTGTTGATAGAATATATTCCCAAAATAATTGTAGCTTTGACCGATATAAAATTCACTATGCTCAAACTGTTGCATTATGAATTGCTTTGAACATCCCACACAAGTGCGCAGAGAATTCAAAGATACTTTAGAATTTCAACAGTTCAGTTAGGCTTTCATTAACTTTCCAGATTGCTTTTGGCTTTCAGACATCTTTTTTATATATTTCCTAATCAATTAAACATGTTGAAATGACAGAGCCTTAATTCTGAAGTTGTAGGCCAGGGTTTCTTCCACAACTTTGCTTAATACCCATACAACAGAGGTACAATTACGAGGCAGCAGCATGCATTTTACACCTCTTACATACAAGTACTTATGGAACACTTTTTATAGGAAGCTAAGGTTGCAAGTGGTGGTAAAAGAAGTAGACATACAGATAATGCCTGTAGTGAATCAAGTAAGAGCAGAAGAGATCAACAGTTGATTGCAGAGGAAAATAAAATAATCAATGGAGTTGAGTTTCAGAGGTTAAAGTGATTGAGATATGGGAGCTGAAGTTGCAGAGGATGCCACATGTGACTAGTGCTACCTTGTCTGTTTATCAGAAAGAAATTTGAATTAAAAAGGCTTATTTTGAAATAATGACAGGTACATTGTTCCAAAGAAGTAACATGTTCCAGAACTGAAAAGGAAGGGCAAGATTTATGAATGTGCTAGTTGAAGAAATTTAGGCCTAGTGGACTTCACAATTAAGTAATGTGAAGCAAAAATTGCAGGGAACAGGACCATGAAGGAAGTTGAGTAGCAGGTGCATGGTATAGCTGGGTATTTAGGAGGCAGCAACTACTAACAGCATGCTGGCCTCCATATCAGCAAAACTAATTTTCTGACAACGTTCATTTTTAGGGAAAGCTAAAGGCTATAAAATAGTAAAAGAACAAAATTAAAGAGTCTGTATCAGCATGCATGTAGTGTTTAAAACAAAGCAGATGAACTGAGAGTGCAAATAATGATACATTTGTGTGACCTGATTGCTAATACAGACACACAGTTGCAAAATGGTCTAGATTAAGACCTGAGTATTCAGGGTATATGGCAGTTATCAGGAAACTAGGAAAAGGTGGAGTGGAGGCTCTGTCAATTAATAATGATATTAGCACAATAGAGAGGGCTGACATACGTTCAGGAAACTATGATTTAGATACAGTTTGGGTAGAGATGAGAAATGGTAAGGTAGGAAATCACTTGTAGCACTGTAAATGAAATATTTATTGCATATCCCTAATTGTCCTGGAGAAAGTGGCAATGGACTGTTTTGTTAAACTGCTGCAGTCCTTCTGTGGTAGGTACCTATTGTGTGCTGCATGTGAGGGAGTTCCAGGATATTGATCCAGCAACAGTGAAGGACCAATATATTTCCAAGTCAGGATAGTCTGTCTTGGATAGGATCTTGCAGGTGGTGGTGTTTCCAGGAATGTGTGCCGCCTCTTTCTAGGTGGTAGAGGTTGTGTGTTTGGAAGGTGCTATTAAAGGAGCTTTATAGAGTTGCTGCAATGATAGACAGTGTACATTGTTGTTACTGTTTGGTGGTGGATGAGGTGAAAATCAAGTCTGCTTTGTCTTGGATAATATCAGTTTCCTGCGTTGTTGGTACTGCATTTATCCAGACAAGTGGAAAGTATTCAATCTCACTCTGGGCTTGTGCCTTGTAGGCCATGGACAGACATTGGGAAGAAAAGAAATTACTTGCTGCAGCATTCTTATCCACTGACTGCTGTTGTAGTCATGGTACTTATGGATCATCCAGTTTCTTGTCAATGGCAATCCTCAAGATTCACAGTGGGGGATTCAGTATGGTAATGACATTAAATATCAAAAGGCAATGGTTAGATTGGAGAAGATCATTGCCTGCCACTTGTGTTGCACAAATATTACATTCCACTTATCAGCCATACCGGGATGTTGCCCAGGTCTAGCAGAACACGAACACATCTTTCTGAGGTGTCACGAATCATGCTGAACATTGCATAATCATCACCAGACATCCCACTTTTGACCTTATGATGGAGGGAAAGTCTATTGATGAAACAGCTGGAAATTGTTGGACCTAGGACACTATGCTGAAAAGCTGCTGTCGTGATATCCCTTGGTTGAGATGTGTAACCTCCAACAACCACAACTACTCTGTAAGAATGCACTTAGCAGAGATTTGTCCTTATTTCCTATTGACACTAGTTTTGCTCTGGATCCTTCATACAATACACTATTGAATGTTGTCTTGATGTCAAGTGCAGTCACTCTTACCTCTGGAGTTCATGTTATTGTTTATGTTTGCACCGAGGCGATAGTGAGGTCAGGCGCTGAATAGCCCTGGTGGGACGCATACTGAATATCAGTGATAGAACTGCGGATGACCCCTTTACTGATGATCAAGAGTAGACTGGGGTGATATTTGCTGGTTTGATTTTGTCCTGCTTTTTGTATATATCTCATACCTGGGCAACTTTTTGTGTTGTAAGGTAAATGCTAGAGTTATAACTGCAGTGCAACAGCTTGAGTAGGGATACGGCTACTTCTGAAGCACAAGCCTTTGGTAATGTTGCTGAAATGTTATCAAGGCCATTGCTGACATCTTTCCCTTCTATCCTCCTTGCCTCTCTTTTTAACACACTTTTTTTTCCACAACAACATTCTGTGCTTTTCTTGATATACTTTTTCATTTGATTTTTTTTCAGTGAGAGGTGGTGACTGATATGAAGATATCTAAGCTTCATTTTGGGGTGACAACTCCCTTCCAATCACTCCTCCTTCCTCATTTCCCTTGTCCCCATTATTTTCCTGCTATTAATCAGCACAGTCAACTCAACAGTGTTAGTGCATTTTAGGAAAATGAAGGAAAATTCCAACTTCAATTCACTGTCACATCTCTGGGCAAAAATCTTAAGTCTGTACCAGGCTTCTGAGAGCAGCTATGGACTTCAAGTAACAT